TGATTTATCATTTATTGTAAGATCATTTTAAAAGTTCATTCTAGGTGTTGCATGGATAATAAACTGTATGGAGCCTTGAGTGTCAGTGAAAACCCAGCCAGAAGACAACAGGATCACGTAGGAATGAGGTGGAAAGAGACTGTGGCTGATGCAAGTCTCAAGCAAAAAAGCTCAGGTAGCTTTAAGAGTATTATTGACAAAGAATTTAACTGTAGAAGAGAAGCAGGGAAAGAAGGAAGAAAAAAGAGAACAGAGTGGTGGGGTGGGGGTGGAGGGCTGGCCCACCTGCCGGTTCCTGCATGTGCCTCTCTGACCCACCTCTTAAAATTCCAACCTTCTGAATCCTCCTCTTCCTCTTTTAAGGCTGGGACATGAATTTCTAACTCCGGGGAGTCTTATTTGCTGGCTCTTACACCCAGAACTCTTCCTTTTGAAGTCCTATATAACTTGCTTTGTTCTCTACGCTTGGAATTGAGCCTTGTTCTATCAGGAGTTCATTTGTGAAACTCTAACCTCTCCAAAGGTATTCTAATCCCTCATGTCCTTGCTCTTTCCCTCCTTTTCTTCCTTCCACAAATAATGCATGCGTGAGTAGTATGTGCCAGGCGCTGTTATAAACACTGATGATGCCACCTTTACCAGATCGGGTGCTGGCTCTCATAAAGTTTATAATCTAATGGAGGGTGGGCTGGGGGAGTGACATTAGCACAGCAATCACTTTAATAAGTGGGTAATTACGAGTCTGGGATGTGCTCCGAAGAGAGGGTAGGCATTGCTAAGGCAGAGCATAACAGGAGTAGATGGCCTAGTCTGGAGAAATCAAGGAAGGCTTCCCGGGGCAAGCGACATTCAAAATGAGGGACTTAAAGTCAAAGCAAATCCTATGTAGCTGGATCCCAGAGAGATGGGAGAAAAAGGGACACGAACTGAGAGGGAAGACGGCATGTGACAGACTCTGGTGTCCGCTCTAGATCTAAGGGGAGAACCTCTGCAGGGACATGTCAGGGTTGTCAGGAAGCGATCGCAGTCACCATGTGTCACGCTGGCTGCTGTGTGGGGAATAGGTTGGGGGGTGACTGGGGCAGAGTGGGTGCAGGGAGACCATTAGGAGGTGGTAGCAATCCCAGGTGAGAGCTGCTAGTGGCTTTCCCGGGGAAAGTGACCGTGGAAAATGGGGAGAAGTAGACAGCAATATTAGTTCCTATTATTATTAGAATAATGGTAACCTCCCTCTCATTAAAAGGAAGCAAGATCCAGAAGGAATGTTTAATCATTTTTACAAAAAAACTTTTTTTTTAATGTTTCTTTATTATTGAGAGACAGAGAGATGCAGAGCATGAGCAGGGGAGGGGCCGAGAGATGGAGAGACGCAGAATCTGAAGCAGGCCCTGGGCTCCGAGCTGTCAGCGCAGAGCCCGACGCGGGGCTCGAACTCACAAACCGCGAGATCATGATCTGAGCCGAAGTCAGATGCTTCACTGACTGAGCCACCCAAGTGCCCCAGGAATGTTTAATCGTTACAAAAAATGTAGAGTCACACAGCCTTAGGCAACTTACACAAAGCTACATAGCTTTTAAGTGAGGAGCTGGTCTTTGACCCAGATGTGTCTGACACCAGACGCTGTGTTTTTGATTGCTGTGCAAGGAAAAGCAAGGAAAGGGGGACCATCTCCTGACCTGTCATCTTTAATTCAAGAAGGATGCATGCTCCAAGAGATGTTTCTGCTGCTGGATTCGACTGCAGGCTAACGGGGAGAGCCCATGTGAAGTGGAGACCCATAACCAGACCCTGAGTAGAATGGTGGTCTTGACTGTCCCACATACAGGTAATGGCTCCCACACTATGGTGAAAAGAACACGCTTGATCCCTAAGGTGCAGAGACATTAAAACCGGGAAACCTTTCCAGTTCTCCTGAGGGTCCTTCAGAAGATCATTAGTACCGAGCTTATGACATGCCTTCCTTATGAAATACTCAACATCGCCTGGAGGCATTGGGGCCCTCACTTTACAAATAGCAGAGGCTTAAAAAGGTTTAAAGACCTTGCCTGAGACCCCACATCCAGAAAGCGATAAAGCCAGAAGTTGAATCCAGCTCTACTTAGCTATACTGGCCTCACCAATCAGTGATGCTTGTGTCCGTCTGTGCTGTCCCTTCCATGCCATGCTCACTTGAACTACCCAGGCCCTCCCTCCATTTCTCTTTTGCCCCTGGAAATAATCTAATTTCAGTCATGTGCAAACTAAGCATGTGGCTTGGTTGGTGACTCCCTCTCCGGAGACTATTTGTATTCAAAGCTGTCATTGGTATGTTGGAGTTGGCTTGCTGTGGGCCATGAGGGCTGATTGCTAAATCTGGAGGAATTTTGTGAGCCAGTAGACATCACACCAGTAGTTTGAAATTGGCTGTGATGGGAGTATTTACACCAGAGAAATCAGCAAACACTATGGATTAGAGCTGCCTGATGCTCTCCACTGCCACTACCACTGTAGGCTAGTTCAACATTTATCAGCACACTGGGGGCCCTAATCTCATTGTCCTCTGTTAATGAATGCCAGGCATCAGGGACCACTTCGCAACAAATTTGGCAGGCACAGGGTGGTGTCTGAAAGCGTGCCTGCCAGCGACCCACCACCTGCCAACGTTATGCTTCTTTCTGGGCCACTGCTCCGCCAGGCTGAGGCGCTTCCCGGCTCCCCTGAAAACACTCACACGTTTCAACACTAGACACCAGAGCGAAATCGGTGTCAAAATAACAGGCTCAATCAGGATGGATATTTAGACATGGATATTTAAAATTAGAAAATGGATATTTTAAAGTTAGAAAAAAACATACTTAATTTGCAAAATTATGGAATGTTTTTCTGAGTAGGTAGAAGGATTACTTTCTGTATGATGTCATAAGTCCACGGTATTTTAAGACAGGGCGAGAAACATAATTTTCCAAACGAGAAAAGAGAAAAAGAAGCTGTGACCTCGAGAGGGGCAATGGCTGCCTCAGCATCACACATTTCGTAATGCATGAATGTATGTCTCTCTCCACAGGCTTGTATTTAGTCACAGAAGAGAAGGAATCCAGGAACCTGATGTTAGCTTGACTTTGAACGTTTTCCTTCATTTGAAAATGAATATGTTATGACACCCTGCTAGCTCCTTCCGAGACATGATGATGATACAAAAAAAGGCTAATTTTTACTAGGCGTTTACTAGGTGACAGAACTTATGCTAAGTACTTTACGTATTAAGTTGAACTATTTGAAATTGCCACTGTCTGGCCTGTCTTGATCCACTGAGTGGTAATTTCAAATAGTTCAGTCTAAATACATTCTCTCTGTTAGTCTTTACCACATTCTCATGACATGGGTACTGTTAACATACCCGCTTTACAGATGGTAAGACTGAGGCTTTAATTTTTTTAATATTTATTTATTTATTTTTGAAAAACAGTGAGAGAGAGAGAGAGAGAGAGAGAGAGAGAGAGAGAGAGAGAGAAAATCCTAAGCAGGCTCCATTCACCAACTGTGAGATCAATGACCTGAGTTGAAATCAAGAGTCAAGCTCTTAACTGACTGACCCAACCAGGTGCCTGGAGGCTTTCAAATTTTTTTTTAAAAGGTTTCTTGCCACAAGTGTAATGCTCTTGTTATTTATAAGTGATACATAGTGCATGCTTGTGTGCAAGTCATTTGCGTAAGTATTTCTCTATGCCTTCTGATTGATTATTGATTGATATCAGTAAGATATCAATGCTGAAGAAGAGCATGTCTGAATCTCTAAGAAGTGATATGATAGTATTTCGCCTGCAACACCCATAGGCTCCATACCCAGGCCTCCTTCAGGGCTCCATTTCATGGAACACTTCAAAGCCTGGCTCTCAAAAAGTCCCAAACTCATGCTTATCCTACTAAGTCAGATCCTAACAAGGCATGGGGATGCCTTTGTCCCTAACCATAAAGCACCTAATGTTATTTCCCCTTCAGTAAAATATAGGTGAAAACCCTGCCTTGCCTCCCTAATGATAGAAAAACTAATACAATGATTTAGTACAATGTCACACACCTGCTTTGAAAATGTACTGCAAAGGGCTAAACAGGGGCTCAAATTTTTCAAGAAAGGAGGTAGTACTTCCAGACCCTTCATTTTGTAAAGGAAGAATCTGACACAAAAGGTAGAGACGCTTACCCAGGCTCCATCATCTAGAGAGAAGTAGAGTCTGGTCTCCTTTCTCCTCATGCAGTGTTTTTTGTACCCAACTATATTGTTATGATTATTCATGTTGATGTTATTATCACTGCTGTTGTAGAAAGAATATAAGACTATCTCTAGATATACAAAAAGACTGACCTAGATAAGCAACTGTAATCATCTGGGTAAGAACCACTGGTTTGTATTGCATAACACCATGGTAACCCTGGTAAATTTTCCAAGGGGTATAGAGGTTTACTTTTGGGCCTTGCAAGTTTTAGATAATTAGGTGCCTAGGGAATATTATTTCAAGATATTAAGTGAACAATGACCATTGGGACATATAGAAGTAAATTCATAAAAATGTTGACACTGAACTATCACTTAAAGTATCAGTTTCCTCCATTATAAATTAAGATAACTGGGCTAGATCATCCCTTAGGTCCCATTGAATGCTAATATGTTATTCATCTAAGCTCCACAAAATCTAGTGTATTTCCGATGAAGTTCAAATTCTATCCAATCATAGCATTTGCCACATAAATTATTATAACTTTAAAATTAAACTTGCAGGAAAAAAACCATTAATAAATATTAAACTTACTCTTTTGCAGATTTTAGAACTAAAATCACCTAATATAACAACCCCACCTCTGGACTTTTCTCCACATTCTCTTCGGATTACTCTTATTGTACTTTTTAGGTAGTCGTAACCAGCATGTCTGTGTCCCCTTATTTTATTCTAGGTATATCTTCATGATTCAGCTCTAAATAAAAAATACTGTTTAGAAAAAGAAGACACAAGTGTTCACATACCCCATGACGGTTCTCAAAGTACGCCAGGCTGGTTTTGGTTAAAACAAAGAAGCGGACTTTAAAGTTGGAGGGAGAAGTTCTTCTCTTTTGTTGCGATTTCTTGATGAGCTGTTCTTCTAGGAGGATAAAGTTGTTCATGATCCAGTTCTTGAGAAGTGATGCACCTTGGGCATCACCCTGTAGCACAGCCAAAGGACACAGCTTCAGGGCAAGGAATGCACTGGGGAGGCAGTTGACTTTCAGAGAGCTGTTAAAAGGCCTCTTGCCTCCGATGTTATCTTTCTATCAGGTTCAGTCAACAATGTGGAGCTTCTCCTCTGATGTCACAGGCCATAACCACATCCTTTCGAAATTCACAAAACTAAGAGGCATATGTAAAAACTACACATACCCTTTGCTGTATGGTTTGGAAATGATATTTGAAGATTCTGAGAGTCAAAATGTTAGGAAGCATTAGAGTTCAATCTTTATAGTTCCTGGTTTAGGCGATCTAACAATTAAGCCATGTTGCACATGGGGTAGACACATGGGCTCTGGAGCCAATGGGCATAGTTTGTGTTTAGTTTCCTGTTGCTGCTGTAACAAATCATCATAAATTTCGTGGCTCACAAATTTATTATCTTACATTTCTGTAGTTCAAAAGTCTAAAATGAGCTTTATCAAGCTAAGATAAGGACTTCAGCAGGCTTGTGATCCTTTCTGGAGGATCCCTAAAGGCAGAATCTGTTACCTTGTCCTTTCAGCTTCTAGAACCACCCGCATTCCTCTACCTACAGGGCTAACAATAGCGGGTCAAATTCTCTCATCTTCTACAACGTAAGTTCTTCTTCTGTCTCCCTCTTCCAAATTTAAGAACTTTGAGATTACCCTGGGCCTGCCTAGATAACCTAAAATAATCACCTTATTTTAAGGTCAGTTTATTAGCAACTTTAATTACATCTTCTACCTTAATTTCCCTTTGTCATGTAACCTACACATTCATAGGTTCCAGGGATTAGGCTTTGCTATCTTTAGGGGATCCATTATTCTACCTACCACAGTTTGAATTCTGGCTCCAGTACCTAACTAGCTGTGAGACTCTAGGCATATTACTCAAGAGATCTGAGCCTCAGTTTTCAGCTGTGAAAAACTGGGGTAGCAGTGCCCCTACACAAGGCACTGCAGGGCTGCTCTCTGGCTTCCCTCCAGGCTCGTCTCCCAGCTGGCTCACATGTTCTCACTCCAGCCTTCACAAATTCTCCTTATACCACTTTGTTCATCTCGTTTTGCCTGACAACATCTTCTCTCCCCTGCTTTGCCTGCTTTAACTCTAAATTACACTGTAAGTCTTATTCTGCGTGTCACTTCCTCAGGAAAGCCTTCCTGGCTTTCCAAAGTCAAATGTACCAATTATACGCAGATGATACCTTATACCTTTCTCTTTATACCCATTATGACAGTTGTCGTTTTGCATTTTGGAGGGTGACATTTTGGATTGATGATTGTCTTCCCCAGTAGTCTAGAAGGTCCATGATGGTAAGGACTCTGTGTGGTTTTTGGTCAGTGTTATATACTCAGCAACCATCACAGTGCCTTGTGTGTAGAAAGAATGTTTTAAAAGAGGCAACTGGGTGGCTTAGTCGGTTAAGCCTCCGACTTTGGCTCAGGTCACGGTCTCACGGTTTGTGGGTTCGAGCCCCGCATCGGACTCCGTGCTGACAGCTCGGAGCCTGGACCCTGCTTCTGATTCTGTGTCTCCTCCTCTCTCTGCTCCTCCCCTGCTTGCTCTCTCTCTCTCTCTCTGTCTCTCTCAAAAATAAATAAACATTAAAAATTAAAAAAAAAAGAATTTTTTTTAAATGTGTTGAATGAATAATCACCAAACTGGGTTAGACAGTTAAAAGAAACAAGGACCGTAAAACACTTAAGACAAATATATTGAAGTATGAATGGCATAATAAAGCATGTTTTGGCTTTGAGACAAAGAAACTTGTGTTGGAATGCTGCTTCTGTCATTTACTAAGCTGTATCTCTTTGAGTAAGCCACTTACCCTCTCTGATCCTCATTCTCCTTGTAGGGTCCTTTTGAGAACTGAATCCCATAAACTCTGAGTGGTGGGTGCTAGTCGTGTATCTTGCCTTAGAAACAGTACATGGTTAAAGTAAAATAAAGTAAAAGTCTTACTTCTGGCATGAAGTAAATAACCAAGAAATCTCAGAGGAAGCAGAAATGGCATATACTGGGCGGGGATGAATAATGAAACAAAATAATCGTTATTACTGTATAGGAGTGTAATCATCTAAAATTTTCTGTTTTGTACATAAATCAGCAGACCACAGCTTAATTTTGTTTCATATACTGGATGCCCTGGCATAGTCAAGACACTCAAGAAGGTGGGAAAAGTGGATACTTTAAATGATTCCCACTCCTACATTCTGAGGTTTTAAGATATGCGTGGAGATACACTGCCCAAACGATGTAGTTTTTTCTTTCTGGGCTTGAGGCAAGGAGTGTTGTTTTCTCCAAATATCTCTTCTCCCCTTTTTTCTGGGTAACTGACCTCCTGAAGGTTATCTGGGGCGTATGGCTAGCCAGAATAAAGACTACATTTTTCAGTCACATGACTATTTTTTAGCCAATGGAACATAGCAGATGTGATAAGCATCTCTTACTTCCAGGAGATGTCCTTAATAGCAGTCATCATACTCTTCTCCTTCTCTTTTTTCCCTTCCTACTGGCTAGAATGTGGATATGATGGTTGGAGCTGGAGCAGCTATTTTATATCATGAGGTGAAAATTGCATGTTGAGGACAATGGAATGCAAGATAGAAAAAGCCGTAGGTCCTAATGACCTTGGGCTCTCCATGCCAGCCTGGCATCACCTTTTTCTTTTTTAACATAAAGAGAAATAAAATTACATTTTCTAAGCCTCTGTTATTTTGAAGTTCTATCATAAACACCAAACCTAGTCTTAACATACATAATATAGTACTATACTTAATAATAGACTGTAAACTCCTTTGAAAAGGGTACCTGGTTGGTTCAGGTTGAAAGATTTACAGACTTCACAAAGTATTCTCATCTGGGAAATCAAAATATCATCAGTAACTGTTGTACTGGGTGCCTTTATTTGCCAAGTCTTCATGAAGTACAATCATAAGTAATATTATTCTCTTTTGGATAATACCTTCAAGCCCACTCACTGGGGTTTGTCTTTGTCCTCACTTAAATGTAACCTTAAAAGGCTCAATATTTTCTCATAGCTTTCAGGAAAACATAAAAATAAATAATCCCTTTGTTTTGGTTTTAAAAAGTCCAATCCACAGGAGCCACTTGTCAAAGATGGAACAATTGGGTGTCAAAAAGAACAGTAATTGCGATGAATTGAAGAATAGCCAAAATGTTAAAATCACGAGTTTATGAGATGCTTAAAAAAAACCCAAAAATCAACCCACTGATCACCTTTGGAGCAGTCCAGAGAAGTGATTTATTATTCTGAAAACTAGGAAACAAAGGGAAAGAATAAAACGTGTCTACTGTCTTTCTTGAAGAGCTACAGGTCAGTTTAGTGATCAAATACTTAATAAGGGAAAATCCTTCTTTAGAAAAGAATACTAACTAACAAATGAGGAGGGAGTGACGGAATACCACCATTGTGCCATCCAAGTGACACAAAGGAGTTAGGCGGCAGTCATCAGCGGCAGCTAAAATCATTATGTGAAAAGCCAACAGAAATATTTATAGTTTATATGTCAGATTGATGATACTATAATGTACTGATGACTCTTAACCTCACAAAAAGAGAACAACTAGACACTATGTATTTCCTGATGTAATGAAAGAGGAAGGACACAAAACCACCTACGCAGAAGTCTAACCAAAGGGGGAAAAAAAACCAAACACAAATCTCACCAAACGTCTAGATCTAAATCCAAGTTTGCAGGAAGTATAGGAAATAAAGGAACAGTGCAAAGGACACATAAAAATGCAATTGGATGAGTCCAGAAAACACAAAACACTGAAGACAAATGACCCTATGTCTGCAACAAATAAATCAGAGAGTCTGCAGATTAAAAGAGACTTTAAGAGGCATATCAAGTATGTGATGGTTTTGTTTGGATTTGGGTTCAAACAAATGTTTTGTAAAGTCATTAAGAGACAACTGGGAAATATAAACACTGTGTATTTGATGATTAATTACTAGTTTTTTTAAGGTGTGATAATGGCCCTGTTATGTTAAAGGAGTCCTTATTTTTCACAGAAACATACAGAAATAACTACTTATAAAATGCTAGAGATTTTCTTTGTTATAATTCAGGGAAGGAGGAGAAATAGGTAGGGGAAGAGATGAAAAATGTTTGTTCCTGAATTGACATTTACTGAAACTGGGTGCTGGGTAGGTGGGGGTTCTTCATTCTGTTCTCCTCATGTTGCTGCATGTTTGAAAATTTCCATAATGAGAAGTTAAGAAAAGGGAAAGCAAGGCCAGTCCAGTTCATTGTAATAATCAAAAGTGCAAACATGTATTCAATTTAATGCTTTTCCTCAAAACATGTTTTTCCCAAGCATGGGTCTGCTTCAAGCTTAGACCATGTTGACTCTTCCAGCATTTCCTAACTCTTCCTCTTGCCCCTCCCACTAGGCTGGCTCCGGACCCACCTGTTCAGGCTCAGGCCTGGGGGGAAGAAGGAAAAAAGTCACAGCATTCAACAAGGCTCAGCTGTAATCTGGGGTCGATGCCCTCTGCTTGTGGTGGGTACACAATTGTTCCTTTTTCTTCTGTGGGAAAGTATTGTCATGTGCTTTGTGGCTGTCATTATTTTCAGAGGGCTTGGGCAGCAGTTCTCTTGATGTGGGAGATGCCACTTGGACTGGCCAATGAGCCAACCCTCAGGTCTTGGGCTTCACCTCCAGTGTGCCTCCTGCTCCTTCCAACTCTGTTGGGATCCCTCGGTCCCTCTTGGTTGTCCTCTTGAATTTTCCATGAAAAGAGACTGCATGCCAGTTTATTCCCTTATATGGTTTTACTGCAAGACTCAGGCACCCTTGCCCCGCAACTGATGGATACACCATTTGCCCCAAGCATCACCCCTTCCCCCTTTTGACACCAAATAAATAGCTCCTCCACAAACTTTCACCATCACATTTCTCTAAGTAC